TTGGAGATTGAGAAAGCTACTTTCATTGAGACTGACATTTTCAATGGGACTCTTTTCTATCCGTTGTCTAAATGGGCACATCCAAGCAGATCATTTTCTATTTCAGATGCTATCAGGGTTTATCTGGAGCCATGGATAATATATTTTAGGACAGTTACATTTTTCTAGTATAACCTCAGCAGTATGAATGGCTACCTTTCATCTTTAAAACAGCCCAAGTCAGTATTTGCTAGGCTTTGGTGAGAATTTTGTTTGATTTGTTTTTGTTTTGTTTTTTCACAAGAAGCTTTGCCAGTTTCTTCATAAATTCAATGTACAGGTTGAGTTTTATTTTAAATAACTGAAGGTGGGAGAAAGTGAAACTGACAACCTTGCCCTCCTCTAGTTATGGCAAAAGTAATGGAATGTACTGCATAGTTGGGGTGGGCAAGGAGCTACCCACTCCTAGGACGTTTTCACACGGGGCTTAAGGCAGATGCTATCCTACCTCCGTCCGGCCCCAGTCTGGCTCCTTTGCAAAGTTTTCACATGACGTCGCAGCAAGCCCCGCCCCATCCAGTGCCATCCCCGGCGCTAGCCTGCGTCAGTCCGAGTCCTTGCTCCGTGTGTTCACACGACGTCACAGCAAGCCCCGCCCCGCCCCGCCCCATCCAGTGCCAACTCCGGCATCAGCCCCGGTCTTTGCAATTCCTTTTTCAAAAAGGAATTGAGTTGCCGCTGCCGGAGCCATTCCGGAATAATGCTGCTTTCACAGGTCTCAAAGCCGCCTGGAAGCAATAAGAGCTTCCAGGCGGCTTTGAGACCCACAGTGTGAAAACGTCCCTAGGCTATTTTTGCCTGGTATTTAGACCTGGTGTCTTCTGGCCAAAAAACCTGTAATTTTTATCTCCTGGAAATCTCCAGGAACAGCAATTCACCTTTTAAATACATCACAGGCTCTCCCTTGCTATCTCTGTGTTTATGTGCCTTCAAACCATGTGTTGACTTGTGGTGACCCTATGAATTTTCTAGGGTTTTCTTAGGCAAGGAATACCCAGAGGTGGTTTTGCCAGTTTCTTCCTCTGAAATACAGTACTTACAATACAGTGCTATTCATTGCACTATGTAACATTAAAAAAATTACAATTTTTTCCAAAATCAAAAGTTGACCTTTCACCACTTCCAGGGGCATATCCACAAGTTATATGAGACTGAGACAACTGTCGTAGCTCAATCCTATGGAATCCTGGGGTTTATAGTTTGGGTTTATAGCTTGCTTGGAAAGTTGGAAAGCAGTAGGAAGGACAGAAAACCACATAATAGATGTTCTCAAGCCATCAATGAATGTAATTTCTCAGACATCAGGAAAAGCATCTATGAGGTGCACTTCATTTCCCTGATGAAAAAGGAGAATAAACTGATCTTGCTATTGAAAGACTCCACAACCAACAACAGGAGTGCCATGTTTCCAGACAGCAATGTTATAAATTTATCAAGCCACAACCTGAGTCAGGCAGAGGACTCTGTTTTGTCAAGGGGCTTATCCTTCTGTCCTTCCAAACCCACACACATGATATGCTTCTGCAGTGATCTAGAGACCTTTCACTGCCTACCTCTCAAAGAATACTTCAAGGACTATGACAGCAGTCTGGAGAACAACACAGAAGGATCACCCCTGTCTCTTCAACACAACTGTAGAAACTACAGCAATATATCTCAAACTCAGAAAGAGAAAAACTCCACATGGACTCCTCCTGATGGCCAGTGCACAGAACTAGACTTCTACATAGTATGTTTCCACTGCCATGCCCAGAGAGAAATAATCAACAAGAGACGCAACTTGAAACAGAATCTCAGTCGCAAGGAACAAGATACCATACACAGTCTCAAGAACAACCCTAACATTATCATCAAAGAGGCTGACAAAGGAGGAGCTGTAAACATCATAGACAGATCTGCTTACATACACGAGGCTGAGAGGCTACTATCCAACACCACATTTTACAGAATCCTAGCTAACGATCCCACAGAGGAATACTGGAAGGAATTACACAGGCTGCTCAAAGAATTCCCCATGGAGACGCAAAAACAAATCCTTATTGACACACCCCAGGAGCTCCGACCAGGCACATTTTACCTATTACCCAAGATACATAAACAGGGCAACCCTGGATGATCTATCATCTCTAGCATTGAAACCCTTACAGTCGGTGACTCCAAATATATGGACAATATTCTTATACCATATGTCACCAACACTCCCAGCTATGTGAAGGACATCACGGACTTCCTACAAAGATACAATCCATCCACAACCTTCCAGGTAACACCATCTTAGCCACTATGGATGTGGAATCCCTGTACACCAACATTTTGCACAGAGATGTAATACAAGCAGTCAGGAACAATATTCCTGATGGAAATTTATCAGACCTAGCTACCAAGGTCTGCCAGTTTGTTCTCACACACAATGACTTCACCTTTGGTAACAACATATACCTTCAAGTTATTAGCACCACGGCATGCACATGGCACCACAATATGCCAAAATCTTCATAGCCAACCTAGAATGCTTCCTTAACTCCTGCACCCAGAAGGCACTCCTCTACCTGAGGTACATTGACAACATCTTCATAATTTGGACTCATGGAGAGGAGTCATTCAAGACATTCCACCAGAGTTTCAACAACATCCACCCCACCATCAACCTCAGCCTGGAACTATCTACAGAACAAATTCACTTTCTGGACACCACAGTACAGTTACAAAATGGACATCTAAGCACCATACTATATCACAAACCCACAGACCTCCAGTTTTCACTCTGAACACACCACCAGATCCATAATCTACAGCCAAGTCCTCTGATATAATCGCACCTGCTCAGATCCACAAGACAGGGATGCCAAACTCAAGGAATTAGAACAAACATTCCTCAAACTACAGTACCCACCATATGAAGTAAACAAACAAATAAACAAGGCAAGATTTGTACCCAGGATTTATCTATTACAGAACAGTTTGAAAAGTGAAAATGACAAAACCTCACTAGTGGTCACATACAGCTCCCAACTGGGACCTTTCAGGCACATCATCAATGAACCCATTCTGAATAATAATGCCACTCTTTTAAGGGCTCTTGTTGGCTGACCTTTACTCACCTACAGACAGCCTCCAAACTTCAAACAGATACTCACCCACAGGAAGACACATAACACAGATAGGGACATAGGTACTAAGCCTTGCTGCAAACCAAATTGGCAACTCTGCCTCCACATTTGTCCAGGAAATGTCATCACAAGACCTAATGACATCATCCACAATATTAGGGACCTTCACATGCTCATCCTCTAATGTGATTTATGCCATACTATGTCATGAATGCCCATCAGCACTCTACATTGGGCAAAGAGGCCAGTCCTTGCGCCAGAGGATAAATGGACATAAATCAGACATTAGAAATGGGAATACACAAAACTGGTGTCTGAACATTTCAGTCTCCATGGGCATTCCATCTCAGATCTCAGAACAGCAGTCCTTGAACAAAAGAACTACA